CACCTGGGATGTTTGGGGCATCACCTGTGATGCTTGGGGCATCACCTGGGATGCTTGGGGCATCACCTGGGATGCTTGGGGCATCTCCTAAGATGCTTGGGGCATCTCCTGGGATGCGTGGGGCGTCACCTGGGTTGCTTGGGGCATCACCTGGGAAGCTTGGGGCATCACCTGGGATGTTTGGGGCATCACCTGGGATGCTTGGGGCATCTCCTGGGATGCGTGGGGCATCACCTGAGATTCCCAGATGATGCCCCAAGCATCTTAAGAGATGCCCCAAGCATCCCAGATGATGCCTCAAACATCCCAGGAGATGCCCCAAGCATCTTAGGAGATGCCCCAAGCATCCCATGTGATGCCCCAAGCATCCCAGGTGATGCCCCAAGCATCCCAGATGATGCCTCAAGCATCCCAGGAGATGCCCCAAGCATCCCAGGAGATGCCCCAAGCATCCCAGGTGATGCCCCAAGAATCCCAGGTGATGCCCCAAGCATCCCAGATGATGCTCCATGCATCCCAGGTGATGCCCCAAGCATCCCAGGTGATGCCCCATGCATCCCAGGTGTTATCGGTCGAAATAGTTAGATTGGTTGGATTGAGCTGTTGGAAAAGCTCGGTTCGTTCAGATGAGCTGTTTGAAAAGTTCAGTTCGCTCAAATGAGCAGTTCGAACAGTTCAGGTCATGTGAGCTGAGCTGTTTGAAAAGTTCGGTTCGCTCAAATGAGCTGTTCGAACAGCTCTTTCGCTCATTTGAGCTGAGTTCGTGAGCTGAGCTTGCGTACCCCTAATAAAGATAGAAGACACTAAAAAATCGTACATTTTCACAATGAATGAACTAGTCAGATTGAGAACAATTGTTAACTATAGATGTCCATGGCGGATGAAAAATTTGCCACTGCCACAATGATTCTTCAAAAATCTCTCTCGTCACTGTACTAAATCCAGACAGTTAGATTGAATCCATTAGATTGATCATGATTCTGATTATTGAACTTGTAGACATTGAAATGTCATGGAGTGTTTAGAATCTCCATAAAAAACAAGAGGTTACATCGCTACCGCTATGATTATCTCTGATTTGAACTTGAATATTGATTTTCAAGATGATCAGAAGAAAACTACAGTAAAAACTGATTACAATGAGCATTATTCAAAAATCTTCTTCTTAAATAAAAATTTATCGTCACAAATATTTTATTACTATTTCTTTAATAATGAAAAAAAAATATCATTTAAAATACCGTTGTAAAAATGTTGATGTTGCATATTCGATTAAATCTAATGTCTATGATTTCTCCTCGTGTTTATAAATAAATTGATAGTGGTCTTGTTTGATATTGGTTTGGAAAATAAACATCATATATAAAACGATCGATTTCAATATGTTCTACCATGAGGACCTGTTATTAATATATAAATAATATCCATACGATTTTCATCTAGAACGTAGAGAAATATTGTTTAACTAAATGATAATGGTTAGTAATGTTTGTATGGTTATTTGTTCGTTGTGCTAAATGTTTTATTCGTTTCGATTGAATGTTATTGTTAATGGATCAGGTAGAATATTTTCACTAATGATATATGAATTTTTTAATTAAATAATATATAATTATTTGTTTGATTTTAAATTGTTATTCAATAATCTACTAAATTCTAATTATCTCATTGTTTGACAATAACAATTCTTCTAATAAGATTAGAAGAATATTTATTATATAAATTTTTTGATGATTGTTTTCAAATTGTTTATCGTTGTTTTATTTTTATTTAATGATAAACGTTGTTTTAATTCAATAGAAAATAAATATAATTGTTGATCATAATCAATTTCTATGATTGATCTATATGTCTCTTCTATAGATTGTAAAATATAATCAATTAAATATTCTCAATAACTTTTATGATACGATTAAATTTTGTTAATCTTATCATTATTTAATAAACAATTAACTAAACGGTAACACAATAATGATCTATCTATATAACATTGTATATATAGAATGATTAGGTAAATATGATTCAACTAGTCGTATAAGAAATAAATGATCTATTTATTATTATTCAATTAAATAATCTAAAAGTAATTCGTTAAGATAATTTATATTAAAATATTCAATAAAATAAATAAAATCTTCTTCATGTTATTTATCTATTTGAATTATTTCATCTGCTTGTCGATTGTCAATGTGTTGAATCTGTACTAAAACGTTTCCCGTTTAGGGCAAAACATTATTATTATTATTATTATTAATTCTATTTAATTGTTCTATTGTTGTTGATTAAATTTGTTCAAAAAAATCTTCATTATATTCATCATTATCATTATCATAAATTATTGTTGTTGTTTATAGAAAAGATAATGATGTTGATATGTAAATCTAATTGTGTTACGATGTAGATTAAGTGTTATTAATGATAAACATGAAAGTAATAAAAGTCGAATAGTTAAATGTAAAATTTCATATCTAATAAATCATTTTATGAATCGTGTTAAGTAAAATTGCTAATGTGTTCAAATGGTTATTTTTATAATTGAGGCATATCAATATAATCATAAGGTTGTTTTGTTTGATGTTGATATTGATTTGTTATTGATTCGTTATTGTCCAAGCATTAAACGTATTATATTCGATGGAAGTGAATGATTTTTAAACATAGTAGGTGCATTATTTGGTAACACGAATAAATATTCAAAAATTTTATAAATAGATAATATAACTAGAGTGACATATTATTTGAAGAATTTCTTGATGATGATGATGTTTAAACTAATGATGAAAAATAAAAGAAATTTATTTTATCGAATATATTTCTATTTGATGATGATGATGATGTTAAACATTGATAATATGATTGTATTGATGGATAATAACGAGGAAAATGTTGTGGAAGAATTTAAAGACGATTGTCCATGAACAAATCGTCTAAACTAATGTTGGATAATCTTTATTTAGAACAATTGATGTTATGTGTAATTAATTCATTTTCCTAACATAGGTTAAATTTTTTTTGTTTGCTTTAAAGATGTTCGCAAAAATATTCTTTATTTAAATTAGAATTATTCCAATATCGATCAAATTCGAATGTAAAATAATCTATTGATTTTCTATAGATCAACAAAATGATGAATAGAATCTTTTTTTTTCTAAACGTTTCTGATCGTTCTCCTCTAGCTCAAAACAATGTTATCTGACAGCTCTTTTTATGATAAAAATCGATCGAAAAATTTTTTTTTTTCTCTCCAGAAAATTAGTTCGATATCCATTGTAATAAGATAGATTTTATTTCAAAAGGTAATATTTTAATATTCTCAATTGTAATCTTTCGATAAAATCTCTCTAGAAAACACTTTTATTGATATAAAAACATTCGAAATTCTTTGACATAATTTATTTGTTTCATAATCATATTTTTCTTTAATTAATTAAACATTCAAAAAAAAAAAAAGAAATTGTTTTTTCTTCTCAACTTCCTTGACGATGATTAATTAAAAAATGATTATAAAAATTAAATTCTATAAGATCAACGTTCATAAGTATTTAATGATCGACAATAAAATAATAATAATAAATCATTTAATCGTCTAGTTTTTGGTAAAATACATTGTTTTTTTTTTGTTGTCGATTAATATGTAAAATAAAATGTAAATATTCTACAGGTGTTATTATTGAACGTTTTGTTTGGTATTGATGATTGATTTGTCGTTGATTTTGATGATAATATATGATGTGTTAGTTAAATTTGATAATGAAGATAATCGATTGTTGTTGTTAATGTATCCTTGTATTGTTGATATTAATTAAACTAATGTCAGCTGTTGGTATTTTTCTTCAATGATTATTATTTATTGGTTTAATTAAATAATATTTATTGTTTAATATAATTTGTTATCTGTCCTTATATATTAGCGTTGTAAATAATTAAAAGGAAATAATGTCTTTCAATTAATTGTCCAATATTGATTGATATAGGACAATCGTTGAATTAATGTTATGATAAAGTGAATGTTTTGTTGAAATCATCAATATTGACCTAGAATATTTACTGGATAATCTCTCGTCTATTTATTAAACATTGTATATATTCATGTGTTAAGTACAACTTAACTTAATATATATTGTAAATATCTTCGTTGTAATGGACGATCGTTGTTCAAGACGTTGTTGAGTAAAATACGGTAAATCAGATGATATTAATTATATATTTATTTGTATTAAATATAGATAAATTTGTGAAAAAGTGTGTGTATGAATGTGTGTTAATAAAATCAATGGTGATTGTATAAATGATGATATATTTGGATTATTAAATATTTAAAGTAAATATAGTCGATATATTTGATGGAATAATTGTGTTTTGTAAAGAGCATATTTGTAGATGTTGAATATTTACTTATTTTTCTTAAATAATCAAGTCGATGATAAATAAATAATTGATTTTGTCAATATATATTAGGAATGTTGTTGATTTAATTAGTTAAATTGATTTAATAAAATATTGATTAATTAATATATAATTAAGAAATTCAAACAGTTAATGAAGATATATTTAATTGTTTAAAATAATAAAAATAAAAATAAATGTATGATTTATTATTAATATAATTGGTAAAAAATAATGGTGTCATTGATGTGCTATAGATGGTAATAACCATGTATAATTTTTTTGAATAAATTTTTCTGAAGCTTTATATTAGATTGTTTTATTTTCCATAACAATATAATTAATAATTTGTTTGATTTGATCATTAATTAATGAATTAATATACTTAATTAAATAATTTTGTATTATTTTCATAAAAATATAATTCTGATAAAATATTAATTAAAATTAAATATATATAATAAAATTGTTTATCTGTAGAATGATTAGCAATAACAAATAAATAAATAAATATAAATAAAAAGAAAATTATTTGTATGAAAGTTGAAATAAATGTGTTAACGTATATATAAAAATCTTTTCAAATATATAATCATTTAAAAAAGAAGAATTGTTGTTAAATAGAAATCTATTTATCTTTAAATAATGATTAAATGAAGGATATTTATCGTTAAAATATAATTGATATTTGGATAACTATTGATCAATTATATATCTATTTGTTGTTGAAGATTTTATTGATGAATATATTCATTTAATATAATCATCATAATTTAATCTTGTTATTATAGATCTATTAGAAGGGTGTGGGTGTGGGTGTGGGTGAGTGTGGGTGGGTGGGTGTGGGGTGGGTGTGGGTGTGTGTGTGAGAGTGCCTGTGACTGAGTCCCACGCCCACACCCACACCCACCCACACCCACACCCATCCACACCCACCAACACCCCCACATCCACACCCACACCCGCCCACACCCACACCCACCCACACCCACACCCACACCCTTCCCCACACCCACACCCACACCGTGCTTTTGTTGAAAAATTTCAAAAATAAAAGGGGTCCTATAATTTCTGGATACCCTATATTTGTTTTTCTTTATATTTTTTTTCTTTGTATATTTCACTACTTTTTTTATTTGTTTTCCCGCCTGGCAAACACGTACATAAAAAT